TGCCTGATAGCTTCCTTGGACCTGTCGAAAGCATACGATACCACCTGGCGACACGGTGTTCTACGGACACTAAAATCATGGCGATTACGTGGGCGGATGATGAACATGCTGCAAAGCTTCCTTTCGGAAAGGACATTCCAGGTGTCCGTAGGAGGACATATGTCTCGCAAACACCAGCTGGAAAATGGAGTACCACAGGGTTCCGTTCTATCAGTGACGCTGTTTCTCGTCGCAATGCAGCCTATCTTCCGGGTGATACCGAGAGGAGTCGACACTCTTCTGTACGCGGACGACATTCTCCTCGTCGTACGAGGGGCAAAAAGTGAAGGACTACATCGCAAACTACAAGCCGCCGTCAAAGCTGTTGACAAGTGGACGAAAAGCGTTGGATTCAGCATATCAGCTTCAAAGTCGTACACCTTTTATTGCAGTCCGAATGCACGTCGAGAACCTGAACGTAACATCGTGATAGACCGAGTATCCATCCCGAAGACAAACCGTTTGAGAGTCCTGGGTGTAACCCTTGACCGAACTCTGAGTTTCAAACCTCACTGTCAAATGGTGAAGAAAGCGTGCGAACCTCGGTTACGAATCCTTCAGATGATCGGTGCCAAACTTCCACGTGGCGATCGAAAATCGTTACTGCAGGTGGGATCGGCCCTAGTAACCGCGAAACTGATGTACGGTATTGGAATAGTTAGCCGAGGAGGACCAGTAACGCTGCAGAATCTCGCTCCAGCCTACCATAAAATGGTACGGTTTGCTTCCGGAGCCTTCGTCACTAGCCCGATACAATCGATCATGGCTGAAGCGGGCACCTTACCGTTCGAACTGCTAGCAGCACAATCCATCGCGCGAATTGCAATTCGGATACTAGCAAAGAATCAGAACAACAACAGCCTCCCTCTCATTCGACGAGCATCGAATCGCCTCAATGAGCTGACAAACTCAGCGCTCCCCGCTGTCGGTCAACTTGTACGGCAGACCGATCGTCCGTGGCACACACGAAAACCTTCAATCCTGTGGGACGTCAAAAAATGCATACGAGCCGGCGATCCTCCAGAGAAAGTCCGCCCGGTAGTGCAACAACTGCTGTCGACCCGCTTCCACCGATCAACCGTCGTCTACACCGATGGATCCAAACACGAAAACACTGTAGGTGCCGCATTCCATAACAATGGTTTAGCGGGAAAGTACAGCCTCCCAAAGGAATGTAGCGTTTTTTCTGCGGAGGCGTACGCCATTAAGATGGCTGTTTCTATTCCGAATATTTCGAACGAATTGATCATTCTTACGGACTCTGCTAGTTGTCTCCAAGCCTTAGAAGCTGGAACATCTAAGCACCCGTGGATTCAGGAAGTGGAGCAAATATCACGAAACAAATCCGTCCGTTTCTGCTGGATACCTGGACACGCCGGCATCCACGGAAACAACGAAGCTGATCGGTTAGCAAACATGGCGAGAACACAACCTCCCATTGATGTACCAGTCCCAGGCGATGATGCGCTGAGAATGGTGATACAAAACATTCGCCAACGATGGAACGACCAATGGTTCGCGACCAGAGACTCCAAACTAAGAGAAGTCAAAGACGACAACACGCACAAGTGGACGGAACGGGGAAGCACTTTCGACCAGCGTGTGCTAACACGACTAAGAATTGGTCACACGCGGCTAACCCATACGTACTTGTTGAAGAAAGAAGCCCCGCCCAGTTGTTGTGGAACGGTTTTAGACGTGCGACACGTGATTTTGCAGTGCAAAAACTATGAAAGACAACGACAAGAGAACAACATTGACACAACAAGCTTACGAGATGCGCTAGGAAACTCTGAGGAGCAAACCACAAATATGCTGAATTTTCTTCGGCAAACTGGACTGTACCGAAAAATTTGAAGGATGTAGAGAAAAGAAGAAGGAACAGCCGAAACCCGGTGTAATGGCAATGAAGATTAAGCAGATAACGGAGCAAGAAAGGAAGGAAGAATGTGAAGAAGATGGAGCAGCCGAAGCCCAGTGTAGCGGCAAGAAGGTGAAGCAGTTAACGAAGCAAGGAAGGAAGGAAGAATGTGAAGAAGATGGAGCAGCCGAAACCCGGTGTAGAGGCAAGAAGGTGAAACAGTTAACTGAGCAAGGAAGGAAGGAAGAATATGATGAAGGCAAATATGTAACTGGATGAAGATCAAAGAAAATGAACTGAGCTGGACCAAATTGATACGGTCATGTAAAGAAGGTGAAAGTCATTAAGAATTCAAAGCGGATAGGGGATGGAAGAAGAAGAATAAGAAGATCAACAAAAATTTAATGAAGAAGTAAAGGCGAAACGTAAAATGAAACGGATAAATACGAAGAAGATCAAAAAGATAAAGCGGAAAATAGCGAAATGAAGAAGACGACACTGATGTAAGATTGGAGAAATCGTGAAGACGTGGAAGAGTAAATCAAAGCAATAGAAATAAAGAAGGATGAAGAAAGAAGATGATGAAGAAGCTAAGAAAATAATTTGAAGTATGGTGAGAAGAAAGAAGAAGATAGATTAAAAGTGAACGAAGAAAAATACCAACAAGCAACACATGATCAGATATGGGAAGATGCCGCAGCCGATTCAACAAGATGAAGGAGACCCGTCAACAAAATATCATGATGGCGAATAACAAGAAACGGACGAAGGTTACGAACAAGATGATGAAGAAAGAAGATGAAGAAAAGATAGAAGAAGTAAAAGTGAAATTAATTGAGAAGCAGAAGTGAAAGAGATGAAATGTAATGATCAACGAAGAACCAGAAGGAGACGAAACAAAGCTAAGTGCAATTAACCATAAACACTTACACTCACACCCACACATCATTACACTAAACTGAAACAGACATGAATGCATCTGCGGATGTAAAATGTCTTAAATAAATACAAAAAAAAAAAAAAAAAAAAAAAAAAAATTATTATTATTATTATTATTATTATTATTATTATTATTATTATTATTATTATTATTATTATTATTATTATTATTATTATTATTATTATTATTATTATTATTATTATTATTATTATTATTATTATTATTATTATTATTATTATTATTATTATTATTATTATTATTATTATTATTATTATTATTATTATTATTATTATTATTATTATTATTATTATTATTCTTATTAAAATAGTCCATGACGACGACGATGAGGAAACCTGGAGGCATTGATGTCAAAGTACATACACTTTGACTTAAGTAACATTAGGGGGCCACCAAACGACGTATGAAGACTGGAACGCGCAAAACATGGTTGAAAAAAGTCGTTTCTCTCAGTCAAAATTCATATCACGAAAATCTTCTTATTTTTCTTTTGGTTTTCAATTCATATATTTAAATGAAAAAAATGTTCGTTTATTCTTTTGGTTTGCCAAATCCGAACTGCCGTGCCTTCCGCTTAACCCCTTCCATTAAATTTTGCACAGTGGTCTCATCGAACTTATTCGTCGCCGAACGCCAGCTAGATTTAAACTGCTGCTCGTTTTCCATGGATTTATTAGTTTTTTTTTTGATTCCGTGTGACCAAGGCCCAATACCGTTCGATAGGGCGGAGTTCTGGGCTGTTGGTAGGGTTGTGGTTTTTGGGTACCACAACCAAGTTGTTCGCATCGTACCACTCGATTGCCTTTCTCCCATAGTGGCAGCTCGCCAGGTCCGGCCAAAACAGCACAGGTCTAATGTTGCTTTAGGAATGGTAGCAGCCGCTTTTCCAGGCAAATGCCGCTTTTTAGATCACACGTGCATATGGCCTGCCAAACGAGATATTTTTTCGGGAACTTCGATAGTTTGATGGTTTTGAAAATTTCAGCCACCTTCCCTTTTCCTGATGCGATATAAAACTCCTGTCCCGGAAGCTGCTTTAAATCCGCCTTCACATAAGTTTCGTGTGAGAACGTCGGATTCTCTTGCTGCACGAGCAAAATTTTGACACGCTGCTCCTCTTGCTTGGACGTCATTTTGAAAACTGGAGAGCAAACGGTGAAAACTCATGTTGTGTGTGGCAGGATAATTTCTCAAAATGGGATTATACCATCTGTTCTCTGTTTATAGCCGTATGACTGCGCCATTGATTTAACACACGGCGGCTCTTTATCCAGGATTTGCTCCTCAAGCCGCTGCCATAAAAAACTATCTAAGTTACACACCTGTGTACAATCCTTATGGGCGGGGTTGCATCAACAATCAATACGAAACTAGCGATTTTAAATTGGCTCACTACTTGACCAGCCTATTGCGAGGCCTATTGGTCCCAAGCAAACGATTAACGTACCCCATTCTAGTCGAAATTCTAGTACTACGCAATGTTTGTTTTGATTCGCTATGAAAGTTTGACAGGTAAAATGAGGGGTTATTGGGTTTTCCTATGTTTCGAGGGGTGAATCGATTAGCTTGGGACCGAAAAGAGTACCAGAGCTGAGCCAAAAAGTTGAGCACGTTATTTCAGAACCTTCTAGTCTTAGAGTTACCTCTATGGTTGCATCGCGCTTACGAGCGGCGCGTTTCGACCGTCACCAAATGAGAATTTAACATAAGCGCGACAATAATAGCAACCATTGTATATACACTCAACTTCCAAATGCAGCATTTCAGATTTTTTTTATGCATTTTTAACAGAAATATACCAATTTGAAGTTGACCAATTTTGCGCGTTCCAGACTTTAATAACTTTTGACTCAAAAACCAGTATTTTTTTAGCATGAAAGCTAGCGATCTGCTTTGTATGACTAAAATCCTGCTTAATATGTTAAACATTGCTATCATATGAGATTATATGTGTTTGTGTTTAATTGGAAATAGGAATAAATTTTGGGCCATCAAAACAAAACTTTATTTTTCTCGCATCGGTGCGAATGTTACTTTCGACATAATGAAAATTTACTCTTGAAGTAAGAACTTACGTATCCAATGACGTTCATATAAGTAGCCCTGATAAATGTCATTAATTTGAAAAATAAATATGGCATCACTTGAATTTGTTCAAACTTTCAGGGAGCAGCCTTAACAAGCCAAGAAAAAGATTTTTGTTTTTGATTTTCCTTTGCTTTTGTTTTGATTCCATTCGTGCATAGAAGCTTTTAAATAAAAGTGCAATTTTCGCCTCGTTTTTCAGTCTTATTGAAACTTATTGATGAATCGAGAGCAGAGATTCAAATGCCAGTGGCCGGATGTTATTTTAAAACATAGCTGGGTAGAGTAAACGCAAACCGTAGTGGATGTTGAAATTGTAATCCTGTTGAGAGAGAGGAATTTTTTCACTATCACAAATCCAGCCGCGTACAAATAATATGTTGGAAAAACTTACATTGAGAGAAACAAAATTTTACTAGGAGTTCGCCTCTTTGTTTATATTTTGCTTTTTGTCAAAACAACACTAGATCACAATACTTGCTCCTTTGAAGCAAACCAAAGAATGACAGTCCGTTTGGTTACATTTTTTGACAGTTCGTTTGGCTGCATAAGACAAACGTTGTCCAGTCTATATACAGTGTCTATACTGCAAACAGATAGAAATACCAACAATCAATACTAAACTAATGATTTTAAATTGGCTCACTACTTGACTAGCCTAATGGTCCCAAGCAAATCGATTAACGTACCCCATTCTAGTCAAAACTCTAGTACTACACAATGTTTGTTTTGATTCGCTATGAAAGTTTGACAGATAAAATGAAGGGTTAGTGGATTTTCCTTATGTTTCGAGGGGTGAATCGATTAGCTTGGGACCGAAGAGAGTACCAGAGCTGAGCCAAAAAGTTGAGCTCGTTTCTTCGGGACCTTCTGGTCTTAGAGTTACCTCTACGGAAATACTATGTTCTATACTTTAAGAAATACGTTACTGCCAACATACTGCGAACAGATAGAAATACGTCACTGCCAACAGCTGTTCCGTGTAAAAAGATAAACATTGCGATGAAATACGAACACCACTAAACATTTCCACGTGTAACATATACCAATAAGCACTTTGGCCCAGACCTTATATAAATTGCATTGGTACGTATCAGCCAAGAAAAATAATGGGATATGCAATTCAATACAGAGCTGGAAAAAGGACCTAACAGCTTTTATTAACAAATAACTTCTCTCGATAATTTCTAGGAATTCTATACTCACCCACGTAAACCAACATCACCAACGGGTAGGGGAAGTCCCCTATCCGATGATCGCTAAAATTCATCGAAAGAAGCCATTGTTTACAAAAGCGGTTAGATCCTTTTTCCAGCTATTTATTGTTTACGAACACGTGACTTGTTGCAAAATTGAAACTTAAGACGAATCGAAAAATGGTTCGCCTTGATGTTGATCAGCGCACGTAGCTATGGAAAGAGAAATTTCTGATACTAGATTAACTGGTTTATCCTCGTACAATTTCATCTCGAGTGAGTTAATGGTAATAAACATATACTTTGCATGTATTGGAAGCACCAGCCACGTGCGATACACGTACGTAACATTTGAGTTCCCTTCGAGAGTCAGATGCGCTTAACCATCGCTCACCTGAAAGCTATAACACGACGATCGGTTAAAAAGAAGCGAAAAAAACTGGCCGTGTGTAAACTGATAAATAACCTACCCTCATGCGGGCCGTATTTCCTTCTTCACATGCTGCCAGATTATTATGCAAGCTCTTAATTATATGGGCCTGAAGAGGTGAGCTTCAGTTTTGTTTTGTTATGAAAACAAAATCCAACCAATTCACCCAGTAGTCCGTTTTTGCTTGATTTTACAAGCATTAGGTTCTTTAATTTTGAAAAATATGTCGGTTAAAATAATCCCTTCACTATTTCACACAAAAATAACAAATTAACAGCTCGCTCCCATACAAAATACCATCGAGGGGCGCTAACATGATGATTTTTG